CTTATTTTATTATAATTTGACTTCCCAAGCACCATTTTCAAAGAGTTATAACATAGTTAAGCTTAAATTAATGCATTTTGATTATTTTTAAATTGACATATGGACACTGCATTGTTGTACAAGACATCTTGTACTTGATTTATCACCAAGGAGCTTTTTCGAAATACTAGTTTGACATCAATCATTAATTTTTAGCAATTTTGTACAAGCTACGTACATTTCCATCGGTATCATTATTCTATTTTCGAATTCAAAGCGAGTAACCGCTGTTTTATTTGACAGCAGATTCTCTTGCTCAAAGACCTCGCAAACACAAAAGAGAGCACAAGAAAATGTCGTTTTTACAATTTGCATTTTTTTTTTCAAATTGAGACTAACATTCTATTTCCAGAGGGCCTAAGGTTTAAGTCTTTTTGGAATGTGACCCTTGATCACAATTCGCGCGCGGAGTGAAAATGATTTGATCTTCTCAATATTTACATGCAAGGTTAATGTTCGTAGCAGCAGAGTTTCTTTTTAATAGCTCTCCGAATGTACGACAAACGAAGTGATATGATCAGTGGGTTGACAAGTGACTGCATATTGGCAAACACCAACGCGAGGGAACGGGCAACATATAAGACAAAATCGTTTTTAACTTCACCTTGATCTACAGCTAAAATAGTATAAGTAAAAAGCGGAATATAAGGAAACATATTTGTAAATACTATTATAAACATTGCCTTTACGCGTTTGTATTCTTCAAGTCTATTTTTCCGACGCTTTTCTTCTTCATGCTTACTAAGTCGTTCTTGTTCAGGCGGGTTTTTTTGCTGTTCGGGTTCTTCTTCTCTTCCTCCTTCCCCTTCTTCTTCTTCGTTGTTCTGGTTTTCTGGTTCTTCTTGATTCTCTGGTAGATCTAGTTGTTGCTGTTGATCTTCTGGCTCTACCTGTGCTTTGTGTAAAGGATTCTGCTGTTCGTCTTGTGACATCGGCAATACTTGCGATAAGATCTTTTTATTTTGTCGGTATGCCGTTATTTGAACTTTGCAGCTACAATATATAGTCACAAGTAAGAAACAGACAAGAAAAAGTCGACCGATCATTATAGGCATGCTTCCGTGGTCCGCTTGAATCCTGGTCGTTATAAGTACTGCTGGTATAGACACCCAACCAATGGCTCCTGCAACCATCACTCTCCTGGTTGTTACCTGTGATTCATAGAAAAAAGGGTACTCTATGGCCAAGTACCTTTCTACACTTAACATCACTGCATTAAAGATTGTCAGGACATTGCAAACGACTAATGCGAGTGCATTAACTGAGAACAGACAATGTATCTTACAATCGTTCAGTAAACATCCTTGGTACAAACTCTGCAAGGGTTCCATAACTGCGCCGACGAGGAAATCAGTCACAGCTAGAGCAACTAGTAGAAGATTATAAGTGCTGTTCCGAAGCTCTTGATCTCCCAAAATCGTCCAAATAATTAGAAAGTTCATTGCTGCGGTAACTGGAGCAGCGATACCATTGATGATGCTAAAAGCACCTGGTAGGAGTGGATTGACAGTTCTACTAATGCTATACTCGTCATATTCTGGCGATATCAAGCAAAAAGACGAACTGTTGTTCATGGCTATGTCACACTGAGTTTTCACACAGAAATGACACAGATTGTCATTTTATAAGAAACATTCTTGCGTTTCAATTTCTTTTGTATTCTGTTAAGTTCATTTGAGAAACTATATTTTCCGTTTATCAAATTGTCTCAATTATTCGTTGACTATGATTTTTTTTTAAATCCAGTAACGAGTCTCATCGGAAGTCTTTTTTAGAAAAGATTTTTTTTTAATGTTGTCGACCAGAGTGGTAGTTTTTTTGTTTTTTGAAAACAATAGAGAATACAAAACTTCACGGATAAGATTAAAAAGACAGGAAAATGCCGACTTTAATGAGTGCTATATTTAAGAAAACGACTCGCGTGTATCTGTCCTCTGATGTAAACACGGTCGTAAGCCAATGAGAACGCGCGTTATGTCTCAAAAATTTTATGAAGCTATTATATAGTCGACCTTACAACTTAATGCAAAAAGAAGAATGTAGACCACACATTCTAAAGCTTACATTAGCTACATGCATTTCATTTTGCCTAACGAAGACAAATCGAAATGAATTCGAACGCTGCCCGATTAATGATCACAATTTTAGATGTCCAACATAAAATTTAATCTTTTGGATGATGAACTGAAATCTTTTTTTTATTAAGCGGTTAAAAAAAAACGGACAAAACGCAAAACAGTATATGGCATACAATAACCGGATACTGCCAGCAAATGGACAATTAACAAAGCATAAGTTTGTTAGTATTATTTACTTGATTAATTATATTGTCATTTTATACTGTCATTTAATCTATTGCGATCCGCTGTTCTATGTGTGACACTTTAATTTGTTTCCTTCTCCTTATAGCACAAATATAGTAGTCGTTGCTGGTTCAGTGTCAGAAATCTCTCTTTTTGAATGCTCAGTTACGGCCGTCCAACACTTTCTGCGTTCGGGCGTGATTCTCTCCCTCTCACAACACGTGCCTACCCCTTAAGTACTCTCTGCCGAGCCCCATGGGACAAGCCCATAACCCTTTGCTACATATGCATAAGAAAAAGAAAGAAATTAAAGAAATTTTGACGTCAATGACGCTATTTTTTCAAATTTTAACGAAAATATGTAATTTTTATCCTTATTTATTATTAATACATAGTCAAATATATTTTATGAATTTTTTAATTGAATATAAACTATAGTCTTAATTGTACATTGTCATTTATTAGTCCTTGATTGGATAGTTTTATTAAAAAAAAAATTATATTGATGTATTTATAGGTACCGGGGAGGAAGATGATCAGTTCAGAGCTAGATTTAGGATGAATTCAAAGCTTCCCGACACATCGTTAACCTTGATCATTAACAAAATGGGTGCACTGATTGTCCACCATGAAGTAAAAAATAAATGAAAGTATAAAAGCTAAGGAAACGATGAGCAGTACTAACTTGCAACGATGTCACGTGGTGCAATCTCTGGTAACGTAATTGCGAGCATCTGCCATCTTAAGCTTCGCTAAATCAAGGGCACTAGAACTGAAATTATGACCTCTTTTGTTGGAGGAGCCGACGGGTTCCTGGGAGAAATATATCTCTTCTTATGTCCCAGCCAGCTGTAAGTCACAACTGGTTGTCAGCGAGAAATTCAGGAAAAAAGAACTCTCCAGGCAAGGAATACTTTCGAAGAATTTTTGGCCAGGAAAATAAAAAAATCCTAACTAAAAAAATATAAGCTGTTTTTGCCTTAAAAACGTTTACCAGGAACAAAATCTTTGGTGGTTGACTTTTCATTCCGTAATTAATTGCTTAGCAACGTATCTACTGATGACATTGCGTGATGTCATCAGAACGGGGGAAACCTTTCACTTAAAAGTTATAGTTACCAAGAGTTCCTTTTTTTGGCTGTTTTATCAAAAATAAATATAGAGACCCTGAGATTATATCTAATCCGAAGAGAGTCAACAATAAAACCTAACGAATAATTTTAATTTTCTTAACTCCGAGAATTTTCTCAATCCGCATGCGATTCTAAATTTACGAGCAGTCTTTGTGAATTCATATGGCACTTGAAGGAAGGTTTTTAAACATTACCATAAAAGGTACGCATGGAATTAACCGAGATCCTGATTTCAGACCCTACAAACTATTTGGTATATTATTATTTTTTGATTTTTATACGTAAAGCGTCGTTAAGATCTTTTCAGGGGAGTCCAATACCCCCGCCCCCTCCCCCTGTATCATTCACATCCAGGTATCAGCGTCAAAAATAAACTTACAGGTTGATATATTCCCTTGAAAGATCATTGATTATTTTGTAAATGACTTGACCGTCATCCCTGTAAGGATAAAACGGGAGTTTCTTTTTATCATCCAGACCTCGATCCTATAATTAAAATGTAGCACTGTTAAAAATCATTCTGATTTATTGCATTATTTCTGTGCAATTACCCTGCCCCATGAAAAACACTTCACATATCTTGTGACCAAATTGTCAGATTAGCTAGCAGTCCGCCCATTCCCTGCGATGTTTCTAACATCCTATGAAATAAACACCTCAATCCCCCAACTCCTTTGCACCCTGAACTATGATGTAACTTTTAATTCGTCTCCAATATCGATTTTAAGAACCCGCTATAGATGAATACACATGCATCAGTACTTTCGGATAACAATGCGTCCGCCATCTTGAAAAGTGAGACTGGAATCACTATGTTGTGCTTTAGAACACATTTCGCAGTTTCTAAGTCAACTAATCTATCATTATATGTATAATAATGACTTGACATTAGCTGAGAAATTTTTAAATCCTTTGAGTTATAATTTAGTGATTCGAGTGCCACTTTTCAAGATGGCGGACGCATTCTCCAAAAGTACTGATGCAGGTATATATCACCAGTAATTAAATATTGGCGAATAAAAAAAAATCTGAAAATCATTCCCACTTCCCCACTACCCTGCAGTTTGATTGGGTTTTGACCCACCTAATCGATTTTAGAAACCCCTGAAGTTCCTCATAGCGCCTAGTCCTCCACCAACACAGGAAGCCCGGCGAAAAAGGGTACGAAGGAGAATACATCGCGACTAAAATCATTGACTATATGATTGATGAAATACCTTGATATTTTTTTGAAAATCAGTCATATCCCAATTGATTTTTCCAAAGGCCTTAGACATCATTGTTTTCGCGCCTTTGAATCCCACAGCAAATAGTTTTTCCATAGTCCCATTATAGGGATTTAGAAGATAAGGACCCCCAAACTTGTTAGTACCGAAGATTCCTCTACAGTGATATTTAAGGATTTGATGGAGAGGATGCAAAATGTCGAGATAACGTAGTACACTGGCACAGATTGGCTCCATGAATAAATGGGTTTTCAACAAATGTTCAATTGTTTGACCATATGCAAAGTCAGCAACCTGGACAGTCTGTTTTGCTAATAGCCATTCATCGGGACTGTCATCGGGGGTGTAGACAGGGGAATCTAAAAAATAAGAGAACTGTTGATCTATGGAGTCCCATATTTCAGAGGCTTTTTTTCTTCCAAAGAATCTTCAAATATGCTTTACTTTGCTGTGCTATTCTGTCCTTTGTGACTACCTTGTCTCGCTGTATGGCATTTTGTGCTTTAA